TTCAACTCTACCTTCAACTTTCCTTTCTTCTCCTATTATTGAACCAAATGGGTAGCCAAAAGACAGCAACTAAAACCGGCGCACGAAAGTGTATGGTTGATGGTTGTTCAAACTGAAACTAATGCCAGATCTTCGTTTCACTACCCTTGACTTTTTCCCAACCGCTTCCTGCCTCGGCAAACATTGCATGCCGCGGTAAACTTTTTGGTGAAATGCCCAACATACGTCCCAATCAGCGTAGTGTTCGGAGGTCGACCACTTGTTCCAGTGGATGACCGCGATTACCTAAAACAATACACCTAACCGCAGGATTGCTTATCCAACTACCCCACCAGCTTCGTGCAATGCGACCATTAATGTACAACACCATTTCGGCAACAGAACCGCATTGGGTTTCAACGTAAGAGAAATACTTCATGGTAAAGTGTTGTACGTTACTCGTTTAGTCCGCCTTATATCCCCATTCCTGTTCTAGTTCATCATAGGGGATGTTGTGCTGAGTGTTTTGTTCGGTCCAATAGTTGCCTTTAGTTGATCCGCTTCCAAAGAACAGTTTTCCACCTGGAACATGCCGGTGACATCGCCTTGCTGGGTGACAATACACAGGTGATCTAACTTGCGTTGAATCGCATGGTGATCAAGGCATCCAGATACGGCACGTGCTTCGCCTCATTCATTCTTGATAGGAGCCTGTGATCCTATTCACCCAATGTGATCGGCTAGATAGTCGGAAGTTTTAAGTACCTCGGGAACTTTGTAACAGCTGTATGTGGAGAGTACATCACGAATGGCGAAAGAGCTGTTTCTGCTAGTTGGTCGCGCATGTGGCACTGTTGTGAAATCTGACTTCTTCCATTGGAAGAGTGTACATCGCCGTAGTTTTTAGGGTTTTGCTTTACGGTCGCATTGCTCGGTCTCTCCGCATTTATGATGCTGATCGCCGATTTCTTAGTACCACTTCCTGTTTCTGTTGGATACTGATTGTCGTTCCGTGAAATAGGAAGTCGCTCTACGCTGCCTCCTTTTTCTCTCTCATGTTTTGCATATGCCTGTCCATCGCCTGTCCGACCATGCTGTCTTCCCACGTGCTGTGTAAGGCTAGAAGAAACGTAATGATGATCATACCATGACTTGACGTTAGAGTATGAAAAAGTGGGCCTCATTGTTGGCTTTGCTGGGTGCAGTGCATCTCACAGATTGAAGCCCAAAGAATGAACATTGTTGTTTGCCAGAGACAGTGAGAGATACAGTCCAGAATCTGAACTGAATCTGAACGCTATACGTCTGTTGAAAACCCGTGCTTCATATTTTATTATTACACACATTTGTGTGACAAATAGTAGATGGGGCGGACCCCATAGTCAGGACGACCTGGTGTTCAGTGATAGAAACC